CTGAGACGGCCCCTGGGAAGCCAAGAAAAATACCACATGACCTCACTCATTTATGGATAATAAGGACCATTATAGACTGATGAACAGAAATGGAACCAGAAGCAGAGCAGCATTGAGCAGAATGTCAAACTACAGTGGAAAGCCTGGGGAGGGTTGGGGGGGGTAAGAGATCAACTGAAGGACTTGTATGCATGCATATAATAACCAATGGACACAGGACACAGGGAGGTGGGGGTCAGGGGAATATCAAGGGGCAGAAAAAAGAGACATGTGTAATACTCTTTGTAATACTTTAAAAAATGAAACAAAATGAAACAAAAAAAACTTTGGCACATCCACACAATGAAATACTATGCTGCTATAAAAAGGAAGGAACTCCTACCATTTGCAACAGCATGGATGGAGCTGGAGAGCATTATACTAAGTGAAATAAGTCAGTCAGAGAAAGAAAAGTATCACATGCTCTCATTCATTTGTGGATTATGATGAACAATGTAAACCGATGAACAAAAACAGATGTGGAGATAGAGAAGCATCAATCAGATGCTCAAAACTCAGAGGGAAACCAGGGGAGAGTGGGGGTGAGGGGTAAAGATCAACCTAAGGACTTTTATGCATGCATATAAGCATAAGTGATGGATGTGGACAACAGGCTGTGAGGGTGAGGCCAGGATTGGGGGGATGAGGGGACGTGGGAGGGATAAGGACACATTTGTAATATCTTATTCAATAAAGGGAAAAAAATAAATAAAAGTAAAAAATACAAAAAGAATATATATGTATATATTTTTTATTGATTTCAGAGAGGAAGGGAGAGGGAGAGATAAAAAGATCAATGATCAGAGGAGAAACCAAGATGGCAGGATAGGTAAACACTGGAAATTGCTGCCTCGAACGACCACTTCAAAAATAAAACTAAAAGACAAAACGGACATCATCCAGAACCACAGGAAGGCTGGCTAAGTGGAAATTCTACAACTAGAAGGAAAGAGAAAAGCACACTGAGACTCAGAGGAGGGGCGGAGGTAAAGTGCAGAGGTACAGAGTCCCACGTGGAAAGGGCTGGCAGCTGAGGTCGCAGCACAGGTGGAAAGGGCTGGCGGCTGAGGACATGGTTGTCTTTTTGAATCGGGAGGGAGTCTCAAGCTCCCAACTGCTCTGAACTCCAGTTCCGGGTGAGTCTCTGGGGACCCAGACTCATACGGGGAGAAACTGGACTGTCTGGCATCGGTCAGAACTCGAGGGCCGCTTTCTCTCAGAGGTGCTTGCAGCGATCACTGGGACACTGAGACGCAGGGACTCTTAGGGTAGGACTGGGAAGCAGCCATAGCTGCTTGCTCCACCCTGTTGATCCCCTGAGACCCCGCCCCACCCAAGCTGTGCACAGAGGCTTTTGCATAGGAAAGGCCTGGCCCTTTGCAACCTGAAAATTACCTAACAAACTGCAGCTGAATCAGAGAGACCCAAAACTTCCAAAAGAAGGTCCAAGGCCCCACAGCAGCTTGCATTGCTTCAGAGCTGGGCCTCATCTGGGCACCTCCAAACCCCAAACAAAGAAGAGGAATCTCTCCATAGCTCCTGCTGAGTAGCCTCAGGCAGAGGCTAAATTAGCACCTCCTTAGAGATCCAAGAGCCAGTGTACCCAGTGGTCAGAGTGGGACCATCCAGATTACAACTACTCAGATCCATAAGGGACACACTCAGGGGGCAGACTCAGTGAGCACCAAAGCCCCACTGAAGCAAGTCTTGCCTCAGAAGGGTGCCTCCAGCACAGAAGTTCTCCCACTGCAGACACAGCTGATTCTCACAGCCAATTGGCCTAGAGGTCAATTCCTCCCAGTGATACCTACAACAATCAAGACTTAACTACAACAAGACTGTGCACAAAGCCCACAAGGGGGTGCAGCAAGAGTGTCCACCTCAGGTAATTGGGGAGACTCAGCCACTGGGCCCTATAGGACACCTAACACAGAAAGCCACTCTATCAATACAGGAAAGCCTAAAAAATGCAGAGACAATGAAACAAGTCACAAATGACAGAAATGGAGGAAAGCAAATACTGAATATAGAGTTCAAAACCACACTTTTAAGGTTTTTCAAGAATTTTCTAGAAACCGCCGATAAAATTAGTGAGACCCTCAAGAAATCTAGTGAGACCCTTGAGGTTATGAAAAAGGACCAACTAGAAATTAGGCATACACTGACTGAAATAAAGGATATTATGCAGAGTTCCAACAGCAGACTAGAGGATCGCAAGAATCAAGTCAAAGATTTGAAGTACGAAGAAGTAAAAAAACAACCAACTGGAAAAGCAAAAAAGAAAAAAAGAATCCAAAAATATGAAGATAGTGTAAGGAGCCTCTGGGACAACTTCAAGCATACCAACATCTGAATTATGGGGATGCCAGAAGAACAGACAGCAAGATATTGAAAACCTATTTGAAGAAATAATGACAGAAAACTTCCCCTACCTGTTGAAAGAAATAGACTTACAAGTCCAGGAAGCACAGAGAACCCCAAACAAAAAGAATCCGAAGAGGACCACAACAAGACACATCATAATTAAAATGCCAAGAGCAAAAGGCAAAGAGAGAATCTTAAAAGCAGCAAGAGAAAAACAGTCAGTTACCTACAAGGAAGTACCCATATGACTGTCAGCTGATTTCTCAACAGTAACTATGTAGGCCAGAAGGGCGTGGCAAGAAATATTCAAAGTGATGAATGCCAAGAACCTACAACCAAGATTACTTTACCCAGCAAAGCTATCATTCAGAATTGAAGGTCAGATAAAGAGCTTCACAGATAAGAAAAAGCTAAAGGAGTTCATCACCACCAAACCAGTATTATATGAAATGCTGAAAGGTATCCTTTAAGAAGAGGAAGAAGAAAAAGGTAAAGATACAAATTATGAACAACAAATACACATCTATCAACAAGTGAATCTAAAAATCAAGTGAATAAATAATCTGATGAACAGAATAAACCGGTGAATATAATAAAATCGGGCATAGAAAGGGAGTGGACTGAGTATTCTCGGGGGGGAAAGGGGTTTGGGGGGTGTGGGAAGGGACTGGACAAAAATTGTACATCTATGGATGAGAACAGTGGGTGGCAGGGGTAAGGGCAGAGGGTGGGGTGGGAACCGGGTGAAGGGGAGCTATGGGTGGAAAAAAGAGGAATAACTGTAATAATCTGAACAATAAAGATTAAAAAAAAAAGATCAATGATGAGAGAGAATCATTGACTGGTTGACTGGTGCATTTCCCCAACAGGGAATTGAGCCACAACCCAGTCATGTGCCCTTGAGCAGAATCAAACCCAGGACCCGTCAGTATGCAGGCTGAGGCTCTATCCACTGAGCCAAACCAGCTAGTGCCAGCAAGATTTTTGAAGTTCTGTGAAAGTTTACCATCATTACTGCCTCCTTGTAAATTTCTCTATTTGTCATTTTCCTTGTGGTGAGTATACTAAAGCACCCTACAGATGCACATTTAATCATAAATAAGCAAGAATGTTGAAACCACTGGGCTTTTTACTTGCAGTCAGTACTGTCAGTTTCCCTCTGGGCAGTGATTTTGCTGAAGGTTCCCCACATCAGCTCTTGCAAAGGCAGCCTGGGGCTCAAGGCAAACTGTGAGGCCTCCTGAGGGGAAGGTCAAGTCCTTTCACAGAGCCCACCGCCCAGCCATGACCCACTTTCTGATCCTGGTTGTCCAAACCAGCCAAGGTGACCACCCAAATGCTCAGGGCAGGCTCCCCACAGGCTGCCATCTCAAGCCTGTCGCCCATTCCCACACTTCCTTAGGGAGACCCCACTGACCTCTCCTGGCCTCACTTTACCCCTGAGCTCCTATGACAGCTACCTGTCCCCTTGTTTGTGGGCTGTCCTTCATTACAACACCAGGTCCCAAGGGCAGGGGAATCTGTACCTCCAGACTCTGAAACAGTGGAGGTGAACAGTGTCCACACCATTGGTCCTTACAGGTATCAGCTGTGCCCGCCCTTTGCTGTGGCCCCTCCATCCAGCCTGATTCAGGTTCTCATAACTAGCGCCTCCCCTCAGCCCTCCCACTCACGGACCTGCCCCACCTGCTCACAGATAACACCCCTACCAACCCTGTCCAAGGCCCCAACCTCTCTTCTCCATCAGGAACACACCCCAGAAGCCCACTGTCCCCCAGAGCCCAGGGTCCCTCATGTCACTACAGGGAAGGGGTCTGCTCGGCACAGGCCAGAATGAGCGAGGTGGGCACACCAACCAGAATGCACCCCCCGCCCCCAGTGTGGTATCATGTTGAGACCAACCCTCTCCTGCTGGGAACGCTTGTATTACAGAATGTTCTCAGCATTGAAAATACACAGAACCAATTCCTGGAAAGCCTGTGCGACCTCCAGGACTGCAGGTAAGAGAGGGAGGATAGTGTGTGCTTTATTTTTAATAAAATCAAAGTAGAAAATTACCCCCAAAATGCAGAATTAGATTCAAAGAACACCAGTGGGCCTCACGGGTGTATGTAAGCTTGCCAGCGGCAGACTTTTCCTAAGGGAAACTGATTTGGGTCCCAAAGCATCAGGGGGCTTCTCCCAGATAAAGTAGATTCAGGCGCAGAGGGCCAGGGGGCTGGGAATGGGGAGAGCAGGCTGGAGAGACTCTGGATGGAGACAGCAGAGCCTTGGAAGCTCCTCTCAGGCAGATGCAGAACCCTAATCCCTCCCAGGGACCTGCCTTGGGCTCCACTCAGCCAGCTCCTGGGCAGGACACAGCGTGCCCAGCTGCAGGGGGAACATCCCGGGCAAAGGCAGGAAACAATAAGGGAAGGTGGGCTGTGCAGGCAGTGGTCCATGCTCAACGAAGAAGAGTGAATAGCCTTTTTTTTTTTTTAGAGAGAGTGGAATGGGGATGAGAGAGAGAGAAAAACACAATTTCTCCACATCATGCTATATCATGGGGTACTAGGAACTCCCTTCCCGCACCAGCGGAAACCTGCAGAATACATCCACAAAGTCATGCGGTCTTTATTATAAGGCCTTGGGCAGTAATGCAAAGAAGATTGGACAGAAAAGGCTTTTCTGCCATCAAGCTATCCCTTATGAAGCACAGAATGTTTGAGATCCCCCCCAACAGGTTAACTCTACATGCTGACAGATCGAAATTGTGCTTTAAAATCAACGCAGACAGTTACTAGAATCCACATAATTAAAGGTAAAAAAGCAAAATCACAATTACAAAAACACCATATACCAGAGCAGTGTACACCAACCAGTTTGCAACAATTCCTCACAGCAGAAGGTGACGGCCACAATGTCCCTGAAAGTGGTAGCGCAGAGGTCCTCAAACTTTTTAAACAGGGGGCCAGTTCACTGTCCCTCAGACGTTCCACACATGCGCACTGCGGGCCCGGGACGAGTCGGCTGCTAAGCAGGACAGGCAGCGGCAGAAAAAACACCCGGCGGGCCAGATAAATGTTTTTGGCGGGCCGCATGTGGCCCACAGGCCGTAGTTTGAGAACCCCTGTGTAGCACTTCTTAGCTGAGGATGGGGCCTCTGCAAACACTGGGTCAGGTGTATTTCCTAGTCAGAGAGTAAGGAATGAGGATCCTGCCATGAGCTCAGAGTATTCATAATTCACTAAAGCACAAGGGAGAACACAGAATTCCTTTCTCCTGAGCACGCAGGGGTGGTGACAGGTGCACACTGTTCAGGTGAGCCAGGTGGTAGCGGAGGTCACTTCAGCCACAAATACTCACAGTGACATCAATGAGGTAAGAGTCCTCGGCAAGTTAACAAGTGCAGTGCAGGTCCTTCAGGCCTCACTTGTACCTCAAACTTATGAGGAATTTCCCACAGTGTATGTTCAGATAAAAGGGGTTTCTATTCAGGCAAATGGATTTAAGTCTCCTGCAGTGTTGTAGCGTGAGAAAGGTAAAAGGTCCCCTGCACATTTAAGGCTTTGCTCCAACGTGAACACTCAGATGTCTAACAAGGCTACGTTTTCTGCTAAAACATTTCCCACATTTACTACACTCATGAGGCCTTTCTCCAGTGTGACTTCTGTGGTGCTCCATGAGCGAACGTCTTAGTCTAAAGGACTTTTCACAATAACTACACTCATACGGCTTCTCTCCAGTGTGACTTCTCTGGTGGTCTGTTAGCAAACATCTTTGTTTAAAGGACTTTCCACACTCACTACACTGATACGGCTTCTCTCCGGTATGAACTCTGTGGTGTTGAATGAGGTTCCCCTTTAGCCTAAACAACTTCCCACAATCACTACATTCAAAAGGTTTTTCACCACTGTGAATTCTCTTGTGTTCAGAGAGGTGTAAGCTTAATCTGAAGGACTTCCCACAATCAGTACACTCATGTGGCTTTTCTCCAGTGTGAATTCTCTTGTGGTCAAGGAGTGTAGGTTTTCTCCTAAAAGATTTCCCACAATCAGTACACATATAGGGTTTTTCTCCAGTGTGAACTCTCTTGTGGATATAGAGCCGATTATAGCTCCTGAAATTTTTACCACAATCAGCACACTCATAGGGTTTTTCTCCAGTGTGAACACGGTGGTGCTCAGTGAGTTGAGACCTTTGCCCAAAGGACTTCCCACAATCACTACACTGAAATGGCTTTTCTCCAGTGTGAACTCTCTTGTGGTTAACAAGCCCATTATAGCTCCTGAAAGATTTATCACAATCAGTACACTCGTAGGGTTTTTCTCCAGTGTGAACACGGTGGTGTTCAGTGAGGAGAGACCTTTTCCTGTAGGACTTTCCACATTCACTACACTCATATGGTTTTTCTCCAGTATGAATTCTGTAGTGTTGAATGAGGGTTGTCTTTTGTCTAAACAACATCCCACAATCACTACATTCAAAAGGTTTTTCACCACTGTGAATTCTCTTGTGTTCAGAGAGGTAACAGCTTCTGTTGAAGGACTTCCCACAATCAGTACACTCATATGGCTTTTCCCCAGTGTGAACTCTCTTGTGGATAAGGAGAGTACTATGTCTCAAAAAAGATTTCCCACAATCAGCACACTTATAGGGTTTTTCCACAGTGTGAACACTAGGGTGTCCAGTGAGTTCAGACGTTGGCCTGAAGGATTTTCCACAGTCACTACAATGACATGGCTTTTCTCCGGTGTGAACAGTCTTGTGGTTAAGGAGAGTACTATTCCTCCTAAAAGATATCCCACAGTCATTACACTGATAGAGCTTTCCTCTAGTGTGAATTTCTCCATGTCGAATGAGGTGAAAAATTTGTCTAAAAACTCTCCCACAGTTGTCACACTCATATTTCACTTCTCCAGAGCAGGCACCCTGATGCTGAACAGCTTTCTGGTTTTGGCTGCCAAATATATCACAGCTGCAAGTCTGCTGAAGACTTTTTCCACTGACAAATTCCTGTGAAATCTCACTGCCATTGTGTGGCTCCTCAGTGTTGAGAGGGGCCTGGTGCTGCAGAAGCTCTGAGATGTCTGGGAAGACATTGCCATCCTTTCTATTGGTTGAAAGCACCCAAGATGAGAAGCTGCTCCCGGTCATAAACGAGGCCCTGTCCACAGCTTCTCTCCAGGGCTTCTCTCCAGGGCCATCCCTCTGTTGCAGGTGTGAGTTTGCACTGAAACAGAAGTCTCTCACACATGCGTCACTGAAGAAGGCTTTCTGCTCAAAGTCTGCTGCTTGTGACTCAGTCAGGTGCAAAATATCTTTGAACACAGAGAAACACCGCTTACACAGATGAGTCCTCTGTGTTGCTGGCTCTGTCTCGGAAGCCCTGACCTGTGACTCTTCTTGTACACAAACACTCTGCTCAGAACAGGCCTCCTCATCATCTGTTTTATGCCAGCAACCTGAAAAGAGAGAAATGAGCAGAAACTGAATGTTTACTGTGGTGACAGGGGAAGTTCCATTGCTAACGTGTTTTGCACATAATACATGGGTTCTATGCAATTGTCAGAAAATAAGAAACGTGCAGGAAGGATATAAGAAGCTGCTGTGAAGGTCTGGGCCTCTGAAGGTCACAAAACAGGGAAGACCTCAAACAGAACCATGACACACACATGGCAAGGACCAGGTGGAAGAGAAGATGCATTTACAGCTCAGGCCTCTGCTAACAGTGCTGAGCAGGGCTGGTCTGCTGATGACAGGGGCAAGCTGTGCAGAAGGATGGTTATGTCTTCTTCCAAGTAAAATTCAATAAGCAAGTAGCAGGTCTTTGAGGACTACTTAAGCATTTACGTGCACCTCATAACACATGTGCAGGTCCATGTAGGAGAATACTGCACAGTGAGCAGTGCCGAGGGACAGGTGGACTGGTGAAGCAAAAAGGTAACAAAGGTGAAGGTGCCAAAAGCCAGGAAGTCACAGATGAAATGCAAGTCAGCAAAGCGTCAAGTATGGGAAAGAGAAGGTAGAAATGGAGGGTAGCAAGTGGCACCTGCTCCTAAACCCTGTTGGATATTAGCTGGTTCCTGTTATCATCTGACTACCACCATTATGTGATACCTTCTCCCAGTTGTCACTCAGCATGGCCAGACCTCCTCTGAGAACCTCTTGCATGTCACCCTGTGAGGAAACCAGGTTTCTCCCTGATCTTCTACTCTACCGATGCATAAACCCTAACTATTCCAAGTATTAATGA